GTGATCATTCATGAAGTGTTTGAAAAAAATGCATTATTTTCCCTTAAATTGTGGTTTGCACAGGAAAATAATGTACTTCCATTTCTCACACAGGCAACTAATGGATTTAGCAGAATTCATAAATAAAAGATACTAACATACCCTTCAGCAGTGTCTAGCAACACTGCACTTTAATGCACTTTGTCAACAGTTTTCTTTAACTCTCTTCCACTTTTCCTTATGGTCTCTATCAATGATGGCATTTACTGACAGCTCCTCAAAGTGTAATCTATGCAACTCACCCGTTTAACAGGTCAAAGAAGCTGGATCTGCACAGAAGTATTACTTAATTGCCATTTTCACGATTTCAGGATAAGGTTTGCTACGGCTGCAACCATGAGCAAGGCAGAGTCTTTTAGAGCCTCTATTCCTCACTTGCACACCGTGAGCAAAATCCCTCACCAAAGTCTCGTTATGATTTGAGTTCATCCATGTTTCCCCCATGTGCTTTTCCTCCAGCAGGAGCCCAACTACTACTTGTCTTCCCTTCCCAACCAGGCTTCTTCCTGAATTTCTGGGCAAATGACACTACCCTGAACAAGTGTCCCTATACAGGTATGGTGAATTGAGAGCACCAAGTCCAGGGACTGCTGAAGTCTACTGCTTACAACTGGTTCTAATTCTGATTCACCATCAGTCTAATTCTGGATCTATTGAGGCAGAGATCTAAAATAAAATAAAACGTTTAACACCTTGACAAACCGCACAAGTCAGCAGCTGTTCCATGCCTATATAAACATTTGAAATAACCAGGGACAGTGGAAGTATTTTGAGTGCATCTCATTAGGGAAATGCCATTTCTCTTGAGTTATCTCGGCTTCCACTTCCCATCACCAAATACAAGCTAGATCTATAGATAGAGATGAAATAGTTCTGCAGTTAATGCTAGAAACTATTAATGGCAAGCCCACCATGTGACCAGAGAACATGCCTGTACAAAGACTCTGTATACGGAAAACCAGTATGCAGCTGGAAAATGTCCTCAATGTGCGTGCCTTGATGTGTCCAAAACAATCACAGATTTTCCTCTTAAGAACATACACAATTCTGAAGTGTGCAGCTGCTCACAGAAATAATTAACCTCCCCACTGACCCCGTAGCCAGCTGTTCTGCAGCATTACAGGTAGTGAACAGGCAAGGTATTCCAGGTGCCTGCACAGCCAATAGTCAATGTCCACAATCCAAATGCCTGGCATAAAAAGAAATCTAAAAGGACATGTTATAAGACCGCTGCTTCTAAATGATTACATGATATATATGTGTATATACTTGGATGCCAGAAGAACTAAATGAAGTTTATCTGCAATACGCAAGTAACTGCTTTTCCCGGAGATTTGGCACACGTTTCAGTTTGGACATACGGCTGTTATGCCAGAGCTTTCAGGTGGCTTTGCTGCTGAACAGCCCGTGATAAACGCACAACCCCCTCATCACACATTAGATACAGCAGTTGCGCAATGCCGTGTACGAAACAAAACTTGTTCCATGACGAACAGGTAACATTATTTTAAAAGAAACTATCTGCTTCAAAAGGTCAAAAATTCTACCTGTTTTGAAAGATGTTTTAATAGGTACTTTAAAATACTGAGTACCATTTTACCTGTTTCAGAAGTAACTAACATCAAATTCAGGTATCATATTGAAGTGTTTTAAGGTATTAAAATACCTTAAAAGTACTACACATCTGCTCCAGAACTGGAGCATGGAAATCGACGAAAAACATTCTGTATCTTTTCAACACTTGAACCTTTGTTCACATTCTGTTTTGGGGTTGCCAATTTACCAACTAAAATTTATTTCATCGTTAACACATGGTAAAGCATTACATTGGGAAAGAAAAGTGTGTGCCTGCTTCAGCAACCAGCACAAACACATAACACTATCTTAGCCCTTAGCAGGAATACTGGATTCCTGATCAACAGCAAGAGTCCAGTGTAACTACACTAAATCAGCATAACTATATCACTTTATACCACCTGACCTGGTGTAAGGTAAACAGCTCGGGAACACCTAAGAAGAAAAAGATACAGGATTTTCCTCTTGCCCATTTCCTACAGTTTTTTTTAGATGTAATTTGTAAAATCTGACAGTATGTTCACATCTGAACTAAAAAAAAATATAGTACAGCCTACATTCCATCTATCAAAAGTAACATTTCCCTTAGGCTTGTTCTCAGAGATCATCTACTAAACCCAGGGAAAGCTTTTCAGAAGAAAAAGGCTGCTAAATAAATACTGTGAAAAGGCTGAGATTTTCCAATACAAAAGGAAAACCTTGAGGTCTGTCTTGATTTTTAATGGCAGACAAACTTTGCTGCAGGCTCTTTTATTTTAAGATGACAGATTGCTGAGAAGGGCGGGGACTGGTTGGGATGAGAGAGAGACTGCAGCCAATTTTAAAAGGTATTGTTAAGAAACTAAGAATAAGGAGAGAACAACTTCAGTGGTCCATGATTACTAAAGAACGGGTTTAGCCAGATAAACAGGTCTGCTATCCCTGAAGGGATTTGAAAGAATATCACACACAACTTTATTAAAACGGCTTACGTGACATTTGCTTCAGACTTTGAAGGCAAAAGCTTCACAAGGTCCTTTAAAAATGTTTTAAAACTGAAAAATCAAAACTTATTAGCGCTGTATGAATTCACAGTTCTGGGGGGATGGGATGAACAATGGCACATCCCCTAATTTAGCCCTCGGCATCGATCCCTGCCGAGATCAATAGCAAGATTCCCTTGCACTCTCGGGGAAGGCTGAGGAACTTCACAGATTTCCCTGAGTTTGCACCCCTTTACTTTAGCATTCCTTAATCCATCAAACCTGAAGTCAGAGATCTGGCTCTTGAAACACACTTCAATCGTATGTTAAGGCAGAGATCAGAATCGCTGCTGGAAAACTTCAAGTATGAAGTGAATATTCAGGAGAGTTAAACTAATCCAAACTCTGAAATACTGCAGGTAACAGGATACAGGACTCACATTCTTGCATGTAATGCACGCTTTAGACAGTTTATCCCTTCATTCACCTCCCCAGAAGACCCTTTGTATTACAGACCTGCTTAAGTTCACTAGATTTTTATCTAAAACAACATTCTTGTTTCCATGAATACATCAGCTCCTCTGACCTTTGCACATTTTATCCACATTTCTAGGTAAAAAAGTGAAGGTAACAATAAACATTAGTGACCCTAAGCAATATATGCTAGCCATGAGGTATGTATTGCTATGCATACAAGAACTAACTTTGTAAACCCTGAAGTCATTACCGCTCAAGGCACAGAAAAAGATACAAATTGATTTAAAAAAGGAAAAGCATTCATTTCAAATGCTGACTACGTAGTGTTAATGTTTAGACTAAAGCTTTGCTTTTATCTCTCTTCCTAGTTATTTTATAATAGCAATCAAGATATTTAAAACTGGTATTTAGTTCCTGGCTGAAGTGCGCAAGTGGAAATCGTACACTTAAATTTACAGATCATTAAACTGGGATTCTAGTCTCTGACACTACTCAGATTTGCAGCCTCATGAAAATATTCCTTTCTTACTAAACTTACTGCTAGCAAGTGATTATATATTAAGAATACTTTTAACAGCATTGGTGCTTAGTCTGTCCCTAATGCAAAACAATAATTTTCTACACTTGCTTTTAATTTTTCACTGTACAACACAAGTAACTTTCATTTCTGAAAACAAGATTTCCTTAGTAACACTTAGCATGGACTCAACTTCTTTACAACAATCTAACAATCCATTTATAATAGCTGCTGAACAGAAGGCGTTGTTTCCAGAGAGACAGTGAAACATTTTGTTAGACCATAGCTCTGGACAAGTTTTGATTTAAGCTTAGGTGAAAACTCACTCCTTGAATGGCACAGTCCTCCTCTTCAATAACAGAGTTGCTTGAACTGTGACTCGTGTTTTGCTCTGATTCTAAGCCCATGCATAAAAGAACCGGGGTTCACATTCACTTCTGAAAACAGGAGTCACAGTCCTTTCATTTAATTTCTTTACAAAATCAAGTCATGTGCTTTTCACCAATTTAGCATGAGTGGTTCTGTACCAAGATCCCAGCAAAGAACTGTCCTTAACATTTTCAGACGTGCTGGTGGTGAGCTATGTGTTTTTCCTTCTCTCCCTCTGCCCTTCTCCCCCCTGCCTCAGCAGGTGAACACTTGGGAAGAGCATCTGGGGCAGTTCCACCTCCCAGCCACTGTCCTCAGCATTCACAGCTCCTGCGCCCACACAACCAACACTGTCCCCAGCTCCGCTCCTCGCGGCTCCAGGAACAGGGACGGCCTCTGTAGCTGCAAGCACAGTTTGATCAGGGTAAAAAAAACAACTGTGACACACTGACACTTTTAATTTTCTTCATTTTAATGTCTTTCCCTGATAGAATGAAAAATTTTAAAAATCTAAATTATGTCCTTTTTAAAAAAAAAAAAACATGGAGAACCACTTGTCTTTCAAAAAAATAATAAAGCCCACTTAGTGCCAAGGACAAAGTAAATGGACATATCTTTGGAGTTTTCATGACATTTGTGAAAAATTGTAAGATTAATAATCCTAAAAGGTCAGAAAGAAAGCCCAAGCCAGAAAATTCTATCTACTCAGATAAATCTTCAAACGTAGAACATCTTTACTATGTTTAATTCACTAGTTGGGGAGGAAATAAGACTTTTTTTTCTTAACACTTCAATGGCATTTTAGACTGAAAAGTAAAGTTTCCATCTACTTCATTGTCAGCTATTTTGAGTTCCATTGAGGTTTAACAAAACTGCATTAGCAAAACAAATTTTGCTTCTCACTGACCAATCCTCAAATATTTTGTAGCTGAATTGCCAGTCTGTCCACAGCACTCTAGAGAAAACAGGGAGAAGCTGGCAGACCCAGCGTGATTACTTTGTCAGAGAACGCGTCAGCCACGGACGAACGAGAGACAGCGAGAGAGCGAGTGCATACATACCTGTGTGAGTTCTCAGGTGCGCTTTTAAGTGAGAAGACTTTGTATAAACTTTTGTGCAGCCTAAACAAAACAAACAAAAAAAAAAAAAAAAAAAAAAAAAAAAAAAAAAAAAAAAAAGCAAAGAGGTTTCAGTAATGAGAACAGAAACACTCCACACTATGTTTAAACTTCCTCATTCAGTGCTGGGGTACTATCTGGACACATTAAAGTTTACTACTTTCTGGCACAGTTTTTGCCATTTAGAAGCAAAATTCTATACAGAATGTTCTTAGAGATATGTTGCTTGACACAGAAAAGAGAAAAACATGTATGTTTCTGGTCAACTTACTGCTTTGTAATGTAGTATATAGGCCAATAGCTGCTACAATCTATGCACAGTAACACCTGCTACGTAAGTCAACAACTTAGCAGAGGGGGATTATCTGATTTTGGGTTTTTTTAAACTCCAAGAGGACCTGATCAAGCCAGACTCCGTGTCATTGTCACCCAGGGCTCAACACAACTCTTTCGCTGGGCATTTATTGTAAGGCACACCGAACGGGTGATATGGCACCCAGAGTTGGTAAAGGGGGAACAGTAATTTCTGTGCTTACAACGGGTGTGCACGCTCTGTATCTGGGATCACGCACTACATGGAAGCACACTTTACAGTCAGATCCCTCTTCCCCTCCAGTGCAGAAGGCAATCCATCTGTGGACAATTTTCAGAGATGGCTTTAATGGATTTATGAGGGCAGCTGAATCTCCTGTTTGTAACAGGGAAGAATGGCTCTGGCCTTGGCTACGGGAGCTGAAATTACTCTTGCAGTGCCAGAAAATTCAAACAGAGCTGTACTGCACTGGACAAACTGAGCCTCTGCTCCATCATGAATACTGGACAGTCACACTGATTTACATTAGCAAAGCCCAAAATTTTTATTTTTTCATTTTCTACAGAGTCTCCATTTTGTAACACGGTAAAATCAGCTCAAGAGAATGACAAATGACATGAAGAATACCAATTATTTAACGAATGTGTGAGAGTCTTCCATTCAAAACAGTGATGAAGACAAATTCTACTTGGACAAAGAACTATTTGGTTCTCCCTAGGTGTAGACCACAGCTGAAGAAAACCACTTATACCTCATCCATTATTATTCACACCTTTTTTTTTTTTTTTTTTTACTGCAAGAGCTGGGCTTTTCTGGCACAGATTGCTTACCTGGGTAGTCACAGTAGTGGATACGTCTTTTCTCCAAATCTGGGTTACTTCTCCTGTTGTATCTGACAGGTTGGATGTTTTGGGGGGTTATGGGCAGAGTTGCTGGTAAATTCGGGTTGTGAATCGCCAGCTTGGAAGCTATAGTTGCAGCGTATGATGGAGGAGGGGTTAAATTCTGCAGCATCTCTGCTTGTCTGTCTGGACTTCCAGGCTCTGAGCTTGGGGGTGAAGGAGGGAAGTAAGGGGCCTGCTGCTGCAGAAACTGGTTTGGCATGGTGTAGGTACAGGGGGGGATGCCCTGGAACTGTTTCATTGCAGTCTGTGGAACAGCCGAGGAGAGCGTGTTAAGGCCCGCCATGGCTGAGGGCATGGAGACATTGTTGAGGGAGTCCATCACGGCTGCCTGAGGAGTGGTGCTGGGCATGTCTAAATCCGGCGAGCTCAAGAGCTGATACAACTGGCCTTGCTGGGGCGTGATGGAAAGATGGACATCTGGAGTAGGAAGCTCCTGCTTGATGAAAATGTTGTTCACGTCAGGAGTTTGGTGGGAGCTGAAGATGCTGGTAAATTCTGGGAGGGCCTGAGTGGGAGCAGGGGCAGGGGCAGTAGTTTCGTTCTGGTGACTGAAGATGGTGACTGAAGATGGTTCTGTCTTGATGTGGGTTACACAGGGTCGCTGAGATTTGTACAAGCCAGTTCTCAGGTGGCTGATGTCAGGCAGGAAGACGTTCATGTTGATGCTGTAAGGCAACCCTTCGCTGTCAGTGAAAAACTGGTCTACAACCGAGGCACTGTCTCTTCTGTATTTCTTATGTTCAGGGATGACAGGAACGGGTGGGAGCTGAGGTGCCAGGTATTTCTCCATTTCACATCTCGTCTACAAAGACAAAACAGACCATAATCCACATGGTTTGTTACCAGCTAAGAAAGATGATGGCATCCAAGTCATGTGAGGCTTTACAAATAAAAGGCAATACTGTTCATTCAGCCGCAAAACACCTACAGAGGAAGTTATAAATGCTCACACTAATGAAAACCTGCTTGATTTTACAATCAGCACACTGATCAACATCATCAAGGACAAGGAGATAAAGTCACGGTACAAAGCGTTCACACATTAAGACAGATCTGATGTTTCAGCATACACAAACTTTTCATCTTTTATGCCTAAAAGACAGTTCGAGGCACAGAAGTGACAGGCGCTGTGCCTAATCTGCAGATCTCCTGCTCTGGAATTCACTGCTCGAGCAGGGTGACTGCCTATCTGTTTCACCCGCTTCTCTTTGAAATGCTAACTGTAAAAGCCACATCCTCAGCTGACTATCTGAATACTAATACTTCAAATAATGTTTATATATATATATATATATATAAAACATACTTCCATGATTTTTCATCCCTAGTAGAACGGGATCTAATTAGAAATACAACACCAAAGTGTAAAGTTATTAATAATATCGAATAAAAAAGAGACGGGTTGACTACATCAGAGTACTCTTTGTATAAAGTGTCTCCAGGACTACACTTAAACCAATAATAATCTATGCAGTGTGTAATTGTCTAGCGTGATAAACATGTCCCTATCCACGCATCGGCTCTCGGAGAGCTCTTTAATTACTGGAAAATCACCCTCTTAGCACAGTAGTGCGAGGGAATCCGTGGGTGGCTGAAGCCCTATACATTACTGGCGTACAGTCATCGGCAAAACATTTACCATGCAGTCTTCAGTGGGCAAATGCTACATTCCCCCCTGCCCTGTCAAGAGAGCGCTCATACCAGACCCGTTTAGCACCCCGCAAGCGAAAGCAGCTGACAAACAGCAACTCTGCCCGAAAGTGGATTTTAGGACCTTTCTTCAAAGACCCCCGGTAAACACCACAAACAAACACAGCCGCCTTCCCGTCCCTTTGATCTGGATCTGCCCCGACATGCCAGGCTACTTTTTCCAGCTCTTGTTTACGAGTCGAGGGCAGCTCGCTTTGAAGACAGGGACTTATTTACTCGTTAGGGAAGACAGCACCGAAAGGCAGCGCCCGACAGAGCGCTGCCCGGCACCGGGGCTCCCTCTCCGCCGACCCGGGCAGCGCCGGTGCCTCGCAGGGCGCGGGGAGCCGCCCCTGGAGCGAGCACTGTCCGCGGGCTGGAGCCCGGCTGCGGTTGGCACCGTCCCGCTTTTAGCTCCTCCAGCTGTTTGCCTGCGGATCCGTTCCCAAACAGCCTCCTGGGACGGGCACAAAGTCCTGGGAAGTCCCGCGTTACCAGTGAGTCGTGTGCTCTTCCCCCCCCCCGCCCCCCGAACATGACTCCTTGCGTGGGCGAGGAGGACAGGCGGCCGCTCTAATTCTGCCGCCGGGCAAGTGCGAAGGCAGCAGCTGTAGCTTTCAACACACTCGCGGGGGCAGCCCGGCTCCCCCCGCCTCCCCGGGACGGCCCCGGCCGCCTCGCCGCGCTCCGCCGGCGGGAACACGGGAGCGCTCCCCGCTCCGCGGCACTCCGCACGGGCGGGATGGGCGGCGTGGCCGCTCCCCCGCACATACACACGAACCCATACACACACACACACACACGACACGGGCACACACGCACACTGCCACTGCCGCCACAGCCCCGGAGTTCGGTGTCCGCCGCCCTCGCCCCGCAGTCCGGCCCCACCCAGTCCCGCCCGCTCCGCAGCCGCCGCTCCGGCCGGGGCGAGGCGCGGCGCCGGGGGCTGCGCGGGCACCGAGAGCCCACCGGCGGGCTGTGAGCGGTGCTCGCTGCCTACCTGCACCATCTCCTCCGCCGGCAGGTTCGCGCCGCCGCCCCCCGGGTGCTGCTGCTGTTGCTGCGGCGGCGGCGGCTGTTGCTTCATGTCCTCTCCGGGGAAGATCGCTGCCTCCCGGGCCCCCAGCACGGGCTTCAGCTGTGCGAACACCGGCTCCTCGGGCTGCTGCACGGGCCCCAGGCGGGCGGTCATGGTCAGCACCCTGGTGGCCATGGGGCTGGCGGCGGGCGCGGCGCGGACGGGCTGCCCGCCCCGGCGCAGGGCGAGTGAGCCGCGGGCGGCTCCGGGCGGGCGGGCGGGCGGTGGCTGCTCGTGCGCTCACTGCCCAGGAGCACCAGCCCAGAGCGCATCCACTCCGTATCGTCAGTGCCTCCGCCTGTACCTGGCTGCGGGTATCTACCCAGTGACACACGCCCGCCTCTATTTCACCCTACTCCACCCCCGGCCCCCCCTATACCCCACCCAGCCTGGAGAGGGGCCGGCCCTGCCGCCCGCCCTGCCTACGGGGAGCGCGGGCAGCTCCTCCCCGCCGCCCGGTCCGGCCCGGCCCGCTTCGGCCCTGCCCCGCAGCGGCGGCGATGGCGGAGCGGTCCCGATCCCGATCCCGGTGCTGGTGCCGCCCGGCCAGCAGCCGGGGAGCGGTGCCCTGCGCAGAGTCCCCGGAAAGGAGCGGCAGGCGCGGCGCTCGCCCCGGAGTGGAAGCGGATTTTCAGCAAGTGCGGCGCTCCGCCGAGGCTTCTCTCGTGCTTGTACTATTATTTATAGTCTTGTAAAGAAGCACTGCTAATGTGGGCACTTTAAAACAACTGTCTTGTCCTACCTTTCATCTTCAAAAGGGTTTTAAAGGCAGTCGTTCAGATTTATTATTTTTTGTCCTGAAGGCAACTCGTACTCGAAACCTGCTGCTAATAATTATCAGCCCGGCAGTACACATCCACCCGCCCCCCACCCCGTACACTGTGAAAATGAAGTTTTTCAGCATTTTACAGAAATAGCGCAGAGGACAAGGAAGACGGGTAGAGGAAAAGAGATAGCGACGACTGAACCTTCTCTTTCCCCCCCCTCCTCCCGCCATCAAAATGAGGCAAGTTTCTATTTACTTGTTTTGAGGTGTGGTTTCGACGCAAAGCCTATTTCCCCGTAGACACAGAACGGTGAGCTAAGCTGCCGCATGTTTCGCTGAAGCAGAAAAAGGAGGGACGCCGTCCTTTCGTGCAACACCGACCGGCTCACGTCGTATGGGAAAAGTACAGCATGTAGTGGAGCTTTGGAAAAAAGTATAAACTTTCCACCTTTCTCCCAGCCCTGTCAGCTCTGCGCCTTCGGTTTGCAGGGAGAGAGTCTGGGAATCCACAGAAATGTTGGCAACCTCCCCCTCCCCGTATTTATCCCGTATCGTTTACGGACAAGGTTCTTTTTTAAAACGTAAAAAAAGCAAATTTTTTCTGGTCAGCCTGGCACTCCTCCCCTTTGCCGCCCAGTCCACAACGAGTAGAATGCCTCAGAGCCTGCATGCAGAAAGCTAATTACAGAACCAGGGAAGAGCTCAGCATAACATTTCTTTGCACGAACTGTCTGTTTCAATATGTAGCCTCTTGATGCTTGTTATTACTAACGTAGATCCGGCTACTCCCGTCAGCGCAGCATTTAAAGCCGTGCAGGCTCATTTCCATCCGACACCAACACGTATTCCCGTTTAGGCAATATGCAACTTCAGTGTCCTTTACTGAAGACTCATGGCTGGCATTTCGTTCCCCACTCAAACCTAGGAACACGTGTTTTAACCATCAGATTTTAAAATCATGTCTTGTTTTTTGTGAATGCCCTTCACATTACCCTAGTTTAAGGTTAAACTTCAAACTACGCTTTTTGAATACCTGACATGTCCCCTATGTCAGCCCTGTTAGGCTTCAAACTGTGTTTTTGACCATCTGAAAGGACAAGGTTAATATAAACTGCTCTCTAACAGCTTTAAAATGCAAAACTATCAATACTACACCTTGCTGGCTGGAAATGAATTCTTACAGATCAGGCACAACTTAGGACTAGGTAGCGTCCGATGTTGTGCATGTACTGGTAACTTTCAGGCATTTATATGAATCCTGTGGCTGTAAGTAACTGAAGTGTTTCTGAGACTTGCATACCTTATTTGCATGTTTTCTCTCCATCTGATTAAATGAATGATAAACAGATAATTTCAAAAGTTTTGTTTGTTTGTTTGGGTTATTTTTGTTTGTTTTGCTTTGTTTTATATATATGTATTTATAAAGGGCCTGCCCTGGCAAAAGCTTTGGCAGATTAATTGGAATGGCATCACAGAGTAAAGCTCTGTATATAAACATTTTCAGAAGCATCTCTGAATGTGTTTTAATTTTTTTAGAAAGGATGTAATTAGGTCTGAACTGCAGATGAATAAATCCAATCTAATCACCATGTTTTTTGTGCTACTGATGGTCTGTGTCCTACAGTCTTTTGCCAAGCAACAATCAGTGGAAGATGACTAAAGACTATATAATTTTTAAAGAGCAATTTTTTATTTTGACTTTTCTACTATAACTAACAATTAAACAAGAAAGTCAGATAGGTTCTTGTTCCTGCTCAGATCCACTGCTTATCTGACCTACATATTGCTGCGCTACTTATTTTACAGATAGTATAAATGCACTTTTAGATCCAGACACAAAAATTATTTGATAGGCCATTTCAAGAATTCCCACTGTTATTAGATGTTAAACTTCTTTGAACAAATAATTTTTATTTACAAATTTTAAGTCAATAATAAGCTGCCAACTAATGTCATCTCCTAAATGAAATTGAAATGAGAATTTGTTAAAAATTAATCATAATGAAAAATTCATAATGCAATAATTCATAATCATAAAGGAAAAAAAGGAGTTTACAGCTGTAATAATTTTGGAACATTTCTAATTATTCACTGATTTTGCAGACTGAGGTAGAAGTGAGTTTACACCTTAACAGATGAATTTGCAGCAGAAAACCGAGTAAGCTATTTTCAACCCAGCACAGCCCTGTTTGTGTAAGACAGACTTTAGGCAGATATGTTTAGTAGTTTTGCTAAGTGATCATTCCTCTGCAGCACAAGTCCCCGGGCATCTTCTGAAAATGACAGTTCAAGGTCTTTCGTTATTGTCCCACACAGCAAAAAAAGGGAGGAATACAGCATTGATTGGTAAACACCTAGAGCTCGGCATGTGAAAGACACTTTTCAGTGTCCATGGTCAGTGGCAAGAGAGGTGCAACACTACACTCGAAAGAGCATTACCGGGTTCAGGGGAAAAGGGTTAAACTTTCTGAAACTATGTCGATGCTGCAGGTTCTGAGTGGGCAAGGATCCAGGCTTTCTGAATGAATGTAGACTCAATTACTTTGAACTCCCTTGTTCTGTACATTCCTATTCGCTTAGTAGTGCTATGCCCATTAGGGGAGACAGGAGAAAACAAGAACAAATGTCAAGTCCCAGGCAGTTGGGAGCTTGGCAGTGGAGGAGCAGAGCACTGCCTTGTGGGAGTGGGGTTGGAGGCAAAGGAGTTCAGCAGGGGGGCCAGGATAGAGACAGGCTCTCTGGTATCCTAACTCATCGCTCCATAAGACATACCTCCCTCTTAGGAAGGGTACTGGTGTTCCACTGTCCTGCTGAGAGGAGCAAGGCCAGAGTTACAGGGATCTGCACATGTTGTTTGGAGGCACAGGGAACGACTGGAAAGATGTGGACAAGTTGCTTCATAATGGTGAGGTGAAGGAGGACCAAGGACCTCAACTGAACTAAGCCAGGCTTGAAAGCCACAGGAAGATGTCTGACTGTACTTTCAGGAGTTTAAACACATCGAGAGGCCTGTTCTGATTCAGCAAATACCCACCTCATTTTTTTCACGTAAATTTACTAGAGAAGTGGGCATGAACTTTCTTCTTGCAAAATAGTAGCTGTCTGCACTTTTGGCCACTCATTAGACTCCATCTCCCCAAGGGAAGAAATGTTTTCTCTTTTTACTTCTAACTTTCAAAAGAGCCAGCACAATCCTTTTACTTTAAGAAAGTCATTATTTTTCTCATGCTGACTTTCCTCTGAAGACAGGATTGCACCAGCCACGAGGTACCATCTTAACTCATGACAGGCTTTGCGAATGCCACTCGCGCTATATAATCCAGCAGCACCACACCAAGGAATGTAGCAGGGTGACTTTCTGCTAAAGCGAATGTGGGAAATCATGAAATGACAGTCTATTCCTGTGCACCTTTATCTCTTGCTGTTTCAGGGTTCGCTTACGGAGGTGTTCCCTTTGCTTATGAAAGGCAAGCCCAGTTCCCGTTTTTCATTTCACTGTACCAGAAATACTGTGATAGACCATATGGAGAGAAGGATATTCCTGCTGAAATAACAAATGGCACTCCTTAATTATTTCGGCCTGGCATTTGAGTAAAAACACATTTCATCTTGACTTCTTTCCCCTCTTGACATTTCAGTAGTCATATCATTCCACTCCTGCTCTAGTGTGCAAAGCCTTACAATCAGGAAAATACCTCTAGTTCCCTTCGGAGAAGGCTTTGTTTTGAAGGATGTGCAGAAAGTGAGATTTTGTTTTGCCAATCTCCCTGTATACTCTAGAGGACAGTTGTGTCAAACCTTCCCATTTCCAGTGGAGTTCCTCAGGCTTTCTTTGCTGCTCTGCTGAGAGTGAAGGGTGTACCTTCCAGAACTAGCTTGGCATTTTTGTTAATGGAACAGAATTGGCACATCGCATCAGGTAGAAACCTTCTCAACAGAGTGACTCCAGAACTGGATTTGACAAATTTTTAGGATATAAAGACTATAAAAAACCTGCAAAAAGAAATTATTCCCTTATTCTGCAGGCTCAGGAAGAGTCACCATTGCAAATCTTGGTACAGACTTCATAAAATGAGAGGTGTACGCAAAGTTTTATTTTGCACAGTTAAAAATTAAGCAAACTTTTAAAGTTGTTTAAAGTTTGCTGAGATTACTAAAAGCACGCAGATGCAGTTGTACTTGTGGTTTGTTTTCATCCTTTAGCTAAACATATTTTTCTTCCACTGCAAGATGAGTAAGTTAAAATAGCAGTGAAGGTTTGTGACAACTAAATAAAGGTATGTAAACTTACCCACAAACAACCTTTGAAAAAACTTTTTGCAGCAACAGGTAAAGATCCTACCATGTCTGCATTTTCTGTGTTTTGACCTGAGTCAGTCTGCATTGTACAAAGCCTAATTACTGATTAATTATATAAATCTGTCTATGCAGAGGTCTGTTCAAGTATTTTCCCTCAAGTTTAACTTGAGCATGTGTGTATACACTTGCATGCATCAGTCTGATTTGCTATTTATCAAGGCCAGTGCTGACTTGGCAGAACAGATGTTTCAAGATGGAAACTTCAACTGCTCATTACTTGAATTCTTGGATT